GAGTCTTAGAATTTGTGCAGGGAATCAGGTTCTGCTGTATGGGAAACAGAGATCTGGTCCTTGGCATTGTGCTTAGGAAAATAAGTTTTGTTATCTCAGCATTTTGAAGTTTTGGCGTTATGGAAATTTTGGAACTAATGTAGTTTCATAGAATCTGTATGTCTGTATGTCCAATGTCATTCTATGTCTAAATGTTTTTCTGTAATCTGATATACCCTCTCACACTGAAAATTGCAATAAGAACCTATGCTTTAAAGTCATTGAAAAGTCATTCATGACATGCCAGTGTTTATAATAGGGAAATTGCATGGTGTTATTAAAGTATGTGGTAAGTTGTCTTTCTCCTTAGAAAGAGGAAGGAAATAATTTTACACCAGGCTGCTGTTTTGAATTGTGCTTTTTTCTTTCTTTCACCCTCAAAGCACTGTGTAGTTATTTGTGTCATTTACCATTAAAATTTTGAATGTGAAGGAATCCATTTTAAAATCAATCACTGATCATGCAGGAAGATGATGTAACAGCCGCATAAGGCGTAAGACTGCTCAGGTTGTGTGTGTATATATATATGTGTGTGTGTGTGTGTGTGTGTGTGCGTGCGTGCGCACGCATATGTCTCTGTGTGTGTGTGTGTTATTCATTTTTAGTTTCAACTTTCAGTTTGCAAGTTCAAATTGCTTTTGCTTGGTTCTTGCTCTGCTATAAATGCAAATTCATTCTGATTTTCTAGTGACCTGCGCTTCACTTCAAGCACACAATATCCTAATTAAACGAAGTAGTACAAGCCAACAACAGTTTGGGAGAAAGTGCATATAAATGAAAATCAAGGGTATGACTCATTCATGCATATAATGGCAAAACTCTCCTCGACTCCCAAGTGGCCAGGATGCATTTCAGTAGGTCAGATCAGTGCTAGTGTATTAATTTCTTGTGTAGGCAAATCCTATTTGTATAGGAAACAGAACTGTGTGATAGTTGTGGGAGGAATTCAGCCTTTTATTTCTGCTTTCCAGTCATGAACATTTATGGAAAATCCAGCTGCCAGTTTGGATTTTGGCAGCCTCTGGTAAGCACATGAGTCAACACATTCAGTACAATGAGATAACAAACAACTTCCCTGTCATTATGTTCTTCTATCAGGCAGGGTATTGCAGAGAGTGTAGTTGTACACGGCATAACAGCTCCCCATTTGTGTGCATTGGGCAAATTATATGATCTGCTAAAAACAACAGAGAGGTGTTTTGCACACCGACACCTGTTCTTTCTGTTTAGCACTTACTCTATGGTTAACCTTAAAGGCAGGACATGTTTTTTCCTGACATAGAAAATGGCATCCAACTCCTAGAGAACATTATTAGGTTTAGGTCTATATACACTGACCAAGTAGATCAGTGTGTAATTGGACCAGACTTGCAAAGGCTAAACCCAGTTTCCTTAGCAAGTCAGCCAGAGCACCCAAGACCAGATAGGTGGCATGTTGTGTCTGGTGGCAGCTGTGACATGGAGATGGGGGTGGTTGCCCAGCAGCACCAAACTGTTGGGGCTTTCTGTTACCTCTGAAGCAGTTCAATGAGTCCCTGTGTAGCCACCATGCTGGTCCAATATAACATCCCAGATACCAAATCAAATTGCCATTAGTGGTCGGTGTAGAAGAGCCTGTGTCTTAGTGCTGTTGGGGTTATTAAGATTGTTCTAACCTTGCTGTAAACTCTTGATTGGTAAAACCTTGATTGGTTGATAAAATGTCTTCATTGCAGAAAATGCACATTGAATATGTATATTATAGGCATGGTTAGGTCCAGTCGGAACTTTCATTATTTGGAATAAAATCGGAAAGATTTCCTTTTTGAAGCAATTTTGAAGTTTTTAAGAAAACCCAGAAGTCCTTTGCCATTTCAAAGCTTTTTCGCCATTTTTTTAATGACTCATGAAGAGAGTCGGAAATGATTCAATGATTCAGCTTCCCCCTTATAACTCACTTCTGGTTGTGGTTTTTGGTTTATCCACAAGTTTGACAGCCTGGAAGCATATTCTAAAAAATCTGTCCTCCTTCCTTCCTTCCTTCCTTACTTACTTACTTAGGGGATCTCTCATAGTCAGAGGATGATGGTCCTCCAATTATAGTATCCTGGTGGTAGGTCCATAGGTGACTGTGGAGCCCTATTCTTGATCTGCATCTTTTCCCACAGTGAGGGCATCGGTTTCCAGGTGGAAGGCGATCCTGGTCGGGGATCGGCTTGACGCATCTTCCTCTTGGCACGTTTCTCTCTTTTGCCCTCCATGTGTGCCTCTCCAAATTCTGCAGCACTGCTGGTCACAGCTGAACTCCAACTGAAGCGCTCAAGAGCCAGGGCTTCCCAGTTCTCAGTGTCTATGCCAGAGTTTTTAAGGTTGGCTTTGAGCCCATCTTTAAAACTCTTTTCCTGTCCACCAACATTCCGTTTTCTGTTCTTGAGTTCGGAATAGAGCAACTGCTTTGGGAGATGGTGGTTGGGCATCCGGACAACATGGCCAGTCCAGCAGAGTTGATGGTGGAGGAGCATCGCTTCAATGCTGGTGGTCTTTGCTTCTTCCAGCACACTGACATTTGTCTGCTTGTCTTCCCAAGAGATTTGCAGGATTTTCCGGAGGCAGCACTGATGGAATCATTCCAGGAGTTGCATGTGACGTCTGTAGACTGTCAACGTCTTGCAGGCTTACAGCAGGGTTGGGAGGACAATAGCTTTATAAACAAGCACCTTGGTATCTCTATGGATGTCCCGGTCCTCAAACACTCTCTGCTTCATTTGGAAAAATGCTGCACTCACAGAGCTCAGACGGTGTTGAATTTCAGTGTCAATGTTGACTTTTGTGGAGAGGTGGCTGCCAAGGTAGTGGAAATGGTCAACATTTTCTAATGTATTTCATTAAGCTGTATTTCTGGCATTGTAGAGGGCTTGGCCGGTGACTACTGGAAGAAGACTTTGGTTTTCTTGATATTTAATCACAGGCCTCGCTTCTCGTATGCTTCTGAAAAGGTGTTTAGAGTGGCTTGTAGGTCTTTTTCTGAATGCGCACAGACGGCATTGTCATCAGCATACTGGAGTTCTATAACAGATGTTGTAACCTTGGTTTTGGCTTTCAGTCTGCTGAGGTTAAATAGCTTGCTGTCTCTCCAATAGATAATTTCCACTCTGGTGGGAAGCTTCCCATCAACAAGATAAAGTATCATAGCGATGAAAACGAAAAATAAGGTTGGGGCAATAACACATCCCTGTTTGACACCTGATTCCACCTTAAATCGGTCACTTTGGGAGCCATTGCTGTCCAAGACTGTTGTCATCATGTTATCATGGTGGAGCCGCAGGATGTTCACAAATTTGTTAGGGCACCCGATTTTCTGGAGGATGGTCCAGAGAGCGCTATGATTCACTGTGTCAAATGCCTTTGCAAGGTCAATGAATGCCATGTATAGTGGTTGATTTTGTTCCCTGCATTTTTCTTGGAGCTGTTGTGCAGTGAAGATCATTTCCATAGTTCCTCTGGAAGGGTGGAAGCCGTTCTGGGATTCTGTGGAGTGTCTTCTGGGAGAGGTAGAAGGCGGTTTGCAAAGATTCTAGTGAGGATTTTCCCAGCGGAGGTTAGAAGGGAGATACCTCGATAGTTTTTCCAGTCTGTTCTTTCCCCTTTTTTGGAGAGGGTGATGATGGCGGCATCCTTGAAATTTGCTGGGATTTTCTCGGTCATCCACACTTTTTCAATGAGCTGGTGGATTTGGTGTATCAGCTCAAATCCTCCCTCTTTAAAGATTTAAGCAGAAATCCCACCAGGTCCACTGGCTTTGAAAAATCCCTGAGCATCATGGGTATCTGCCAGGTGTTGAATTTTTTCAGCCTTCTTTGTCCACCAGATGTTCTTGAATTCTCTTGTCCTTCATTGGACCTCAGCTTCTGCACTGGTGTAGGTCTTTTTCTTAGCAGCACAGTTGATGTCTCTCTTTTCTTGTCAATTAGCTGTTGGATCTCATTATTTTTGTCAAATCAATCTTGATGTTTCTTGGTTTGGTATCCAATAGTTTCTTCACAGGCTGTGATGATGGCAGTCTTCAGTTTGTTCCAATGTTCTCAACATTTTCAGGGTGTTCTATGGGTAGATGGTCCTTGAGTGCCGTTTGGAGGTGGGCTCGTTTGGGGGCCTCCTGAAGGGATTGGGTGTTCATTCTGCACCTTGTCTTTCTTCATTGAAGTCTGCGTTTGGGGGCGATCTTGATAACCATCATGGATCGGATTAGCCTGTGACATTAGTCTCTCATCTATGTCCTCACCAAGCATACCTTTGAAGGTAACAAAACCAAGAAGAAGTCCTCCCTTAAGGATCTTAAGATAATGATAGACTTATAAAGGAAGAGATGAGCTTTTATTTAGTTTTTACCTAAACTCTTAAGGTAGGAGAGTCCAGATGCCGGTGAAATCAATGATATATAAATGTGCATAATGAAGCTGAAGATTTCAGCCATAGGGCTGGCCAATGCAGAAGATGGTGGACTAGGGTCCATGTATCAGAGATGCCTCTGAGTGACTTCAGAAGCAATCTGTTCTGACAGCTGCAGAAGGCAATCAGACAGTCACCTTCTAGTCTTCTCTGTATTACTTTGACTCCTTTGTTGCTCTTTCCTACAATAAGAAGTGAAGTACTGCCAGAAGGCAAGTGAGTTGACAGAAATGAAAGAGAGCTGGAAGAGGGCTCTCTACAGGAAAATGTAGCAGCTGTTCAGTCAGTAGCAACCACTTTCACCTGGAGGCATCTTACCATGTAGAGGCTCATTGCCAGACTTTTGTGTAAAGACCCATCCACTAAACATTTGATCTCTATTGACCTTCCCTGGTCTTAACCCACTGTTTCTTGGCATATTGTTTGAGGGTGGGGGGAGTAATTCTTCTTCACTTTGCATTCTGGCATCTTTCAGAACTTTTTTGAAAATGGTTGTATTTTAGCAGCTGAGCTGCCTTTAGATTGTAACTCACCCCTCATTCTTCCTTTCACCTCTCCTGAGGCTAAACATCCATAGCCTTTCTTCTTTTTGTGTGATCTTACTTCGAGATATTTTCTCTCCCTTGTTGTTTCCCTTTCTGTTGCTGTCTTGGTGCTTTTGTGTAAAGTGACTGCAGTTCTTTGCAACCAGCGTTCATGAAGTCTTCCAAATAGTCCTGGATAAGGAGATCACTAGCTTGTTGAAAAGATCCACTGAAATGCTATATACAAAGGCAAGTAAACAAACATTGCTTCATTACATGGTTCACTACACACAGCAACTGATAGGCAGTCCCTAGCCTCTTGCCACGTGCAGTATTTCAGCAGTAGTGCAAACCAGAAAATAAAATGTGAACAGGGGTTGCTAAAGCAAAGTTTTAAGAGTTACATTGTTTGTTTAAGGATCAGGTTCAATATATGGATGATATACTGATTTAGAAATGTGTTTAGATAGAAAAGTGGGGTTCCCCCTCTCTTCCCTCCCACCCACCCTTACTTCACTTGAGGCTGAAATCAGAAAGCTTGGTAAAAGAAGATTGTGAAATGTTTGGTGGTACATAAAATAAATCCAGCTTATACTTTCAGAGAGCCCTCTGGCTGTATAAAAAGATGATGACAGTGACAGTGGGAGAAAAATTGCTTATATCTACAATTCTCCATTATTTTCTCATTAACTTGAGTTTTAAAGGGAATCATATTAGTGCCTCCAGAGGATGAACTATATAAACAAGAACTACAGATTTATTTGTGCATTAAAAGAAATGCTATGGTAACAGGTTTGATTGCCTCTGCTGCAGTTTAAAATCCTAAAGGACAAATTATCCTGAGATAATCTCACCCTTGTATCCTTTTCTATATTGTATTTCATACCTCTAATCCTCTAAGGTTATGACTATCTAATAATAACCCTTCCGATTTCCTCTTGTTTTTCCATGCTACTGCTAAAAGTATCTACTTGCAAGTCAACTAAACCACATCAGTTAATTTCACTTTGATTGCCAGAGATGGATTGAGATACTATGGAAAATTTACATCTAGAAGAAATTTACATCTAGAAGATTAATCTGTATTGTCAAATAGGGAAATACTGCTTCAACAACTGCCAACCTTAGAACTATATAGTCTTGTACTATATAATCCTGAGCTTTAAAAATATTAGTATCAAGTTGGTTCTTGGTTGTTTTAAAGATCTGATGTATGAACATGATAGTGAATACAATAGGCTCTGAATGAATTCATTGGATTTCAGTTCTTTGGAAACTTTTGTATGGCTATTGTTTTTACATAAGTAATTAAAGGACCTTGGGTATATTTCCATTCTTCTAACTGGTAAGGCATAATTAAAAGCAGAAGAGAGATATTTACTTTTGATTAAAATTTTAGTTTATTCTTAAAATTATTCTAACTATTGTAGGTACACCAGAGTAATGTAGCCAAACATCACTTTAAGGCTGCTTACTTGGGAGCAAATCACCTTTAACTTCATGGCCTTATTTCTATTTTGAGAAGACTGCATTAGTTAACTTGTACACTTTAACACTACAAGCATGTTCACATCTATTCAGAAGTATGTCCCACTTAGGTCAAAGGCTCCCCTGTGGACACTGGATTTATACCACAGACTTTGTTTACAGCCCATGGCTGTAAACCTTAGGGGTAAGACCAAATAAATTACAAAAACTGCCTTAGATATCCATGTTTTAAACTGAAACACGCCCCATAGACGCAATACTATGGTTGGCTCTGGTAAAGGAAATTGTATGAAGAAAGCATCTTGTTGAGATGTAAGAATCCCTTCAGATGATCCTCATGACATTCCTCAAAAAACGATGATGGCGTGCTCACGCTTCTAGACAAGTAAGAATTCAGCCTGCTGCTTTATGTACACCCATTATTCCCCATTTTTTTCTCTAAGGAATTCACAACTTTACATCCCCTCCCCCCATTTTATCTTGCCAAAAGATAGGAGCAGGAAAAGAGGGAAATTAAGATGAGTGGTAAAGATGAACTCATCCTGCAACCATCTTAATGGCTGAGTACAGAGTTCAAGCATGATCCTAATTTCATAGTTAAATTCCAGGGAGGGCAAACCCTTTGGCGACCTACTGCCTCAAAACCTGTTTTTGAAGTCCTCAATCCTTAAGAGCCCTACACTTCTTCTTTTTTTTTTCCCCCTGCCCACTAAAAGTGAATTGTCTTCTTTGGAAACTTCCAGGACTGCTGATATTATAAAATTTATTTATTTATTTATTAAAACTGTTGTATCCCGATCTTCTCTGCATTGTTTAAATGTGAAAGAAAATCACTCAATTTTTCAAAGTTAGGACATGAGATAGGCAACTACAGAGGGTATAGAATGGCAGCTACGTCATTTCTTGGGTCTCTCTAGCAGATACAGCAAGCTTCACTTTCCCACTTTTAAAATACCCTTTTAGTCCCCCTTCCTGGAATGAATTGAGTTTACATAGCCTAATATAGAGAATTGCAACTGCCTGAGGTTTCTGCAGCTCTTCATTGTAATCTAAAATATTTTTGGGAGCTGGGGTGGGGATGGTGATAAATCATTTAAAACTTCTCCATATTTTAATCAAAAACTTATCAACTAAGGAATACAATACTACCTTGTTCTTTAAAACCTTTGGTCTGCCTTAATAAATAGGTTTTGGCCTGCTGCAGGAAGAACTATAAAAAGGGGCCTGTTCTGGCTTCCCCAGCCACTGAGAAGGTTCATTCTCACCTCCCCCCAACCATCTTTGTGATGGTATTGGGACTGAGAGAAGGGCTCACTTGATGCTCTCAGAGCCCCGGCTGGCTTCTAGAGGGAAAGATGATCTACTGAATAACCTGGATCTGACTATATAGGGCCTTGCAGCTAATAGCCAGTATTTTGAATTGTGTGTCCAGAAGCAAAGTGACAGCCAGTGGAACTCTTGCAACAAGGGAGTTCTAACACCCGAAGAAAAGTGAAGTTTGGTATAATAATTATTTATCCTCTAGAAGTTGTCTCTCTAACTTCAAAATATTTTTCAGTGCTTAAGCAAAAAGCTTCCAAACTGGTTGTTTCCTTTCACATGCTAACAAAGTACTACTAATTTTGCATTAAAACTTGCAGAACTTCTCTTTTTATGCTATAGGAAGACATCCCCATGTAATCCTTATTTTATTTCTGCTTCTGTTACCAAATTTTTCATTAATGAAGTAATGCCCAGGAACACTTTGGTTTCACCTGAGGCCACCATGGCCTGAGTTGACTTTGAACGGCATTATATAGTCAGTGTAGAAGGGCTCTTAGATTGCATAAAACTGAAGTTATCAAGCATAGGGAAATACTGAGAAGAATCCCACGGCTAGTGATCGGAAAGGCATGGGATACCACAAAAAAGGCACTGCAAAAAGTATAATTACAAACAAGGTCATAGAAGTAGAAATATGGAAAATATCTGAAAAAGACAGTAAATTTGAGGTGGAAGTGAAATGAAAAAAAGAGTGTGTATAGATGAATCTCCAAGATGAATCTCCAAGGAAGAATACAGGTGTGTGGTCCAAGGTTGTAGCAAATAATGTAAGGGAAGTTAAATATCAACATGAGTTGAGGCACACTAGTTAAGCAAGGAACAACAAAATGTACTTTAAAAAAATAGGATTGAAGCAAAAGAATGATGTAGGAAACTGTGGGCCTGCTGCTCAGCAAGCATAGCAAAATGATAACAGATTATACAGGAAAGGCAGAATTGCTCTATAGGTCACTTTATTTTCCTCTTTTCTCCTAACAATAGCCGAAGCAATTTTGCTTAGATTCCTCACATGCAATAACTTCGGACCCTGCATAGTTTGTAGCACTATGGGTCTATTTTGACTCTCACGGCAATACCCTATGGGTTGCTGAGGTTTTTACTGTGGGAGAGCACTTGAGCTATGTGGCTAAGAATTCTGAATACCCCTCCCTTAATTACAAATCCCAGGATTCAAAAGGATGGAACCAGGGCAAATAAAAAGAATCACATGTCCCATCTACACTGCCATATAATGCAATGCAGACTCATATAATGCAATTCAATGCAGTTAAACTGTGTTCTATGAGTCTGCACTGATCATATAATGCAGTTTGAAACTGCATTATATAGCATTATAGATGGGGCCACTGTGTTATAGGATATAATGTGAAAGTGCCCCTGGAGCCAAATCAGAAGCGACTTGAGAAACTGCAAGTCACTTCTGATGTGAGAGAATTGGCCATCTGCAAGGACGTTGCCCAGGAGACACCCAAATGTTTTACCATCCTATGGGAGGCTTCTCTCATGTCTCTGCATGGGAAGCTGGAGCTGACAGATGAGAGCTCATCTCATCTTGTGGATTTGAACTGCCAACCTTCAGGTTAGCAGTTCAGATGGCACAAGGGTTTAACCCATTGCACCACTGCGGCACCACACCACATAACAGAAGGATATATAAAAGCATATCAGCCTTTGCTCTCAAAGTAAATTTAGTTCTTTAAGTTAACTTTCACTCCATTTTGAAGCAATAGTATTTTACTCACCTAGTGATTTGAATTATTCGCTTATTGCTTGGCATTTGGGGGATGGACTTATCATAATATTTGCTACTTCTAGTGCAACTCCCAAAGTTTCCAGTGATCTAAGTAGATTTATTACATAAACTACCCCATTCAAGTGTAGAATAGTACTCAAATAGATTATACACTGAATCAGAGAAGCCTGATTAAGGGAAATAGCTTCTCTATGTTTAAGGCATGGCCCTTGAAGGCTCATGAAACCATACCACATTCTCTAAAGGGTTTATTTTGTCTGCTTTCCAGGGTCTAAATTGGCTCTCTGCACACCCCTACCTGTCAGTAATGAGCAGGTATTCCAGGTGTCATGAGCTCCCACCTCTTGAGGCCAAGCCTTGAACAAATCGCTGTTATTATCTCACAATAACATAGAATAGAACAATTGTAACTTACCAACTATAACGGAAAGCAATTGTGGGTAGGAATAGGAATTTCCGACTGGTATGTATGCACAAATGTCCATTTTCATATGGAAATGATAGGTTCTGTAAAGGCAAAAATACAACTTTCTCACAGTTATTCCAGAGGAACCATTCGTAAAACTCTCACTCACAGTATTTCTACAGATAGAGTTCAGCTGATTGCCTAAAACTGAACCTAGAATTTCAAGACAGATCCATACAGTTTCAGGGTAAAACTGATACCAAAACAAGCATCCACCCATGGCAGCTTTTACACTTTGGTATACATCCTTTTATTGGCCATGACTAGAGAAAAAGGTGTTTGAATTGATAAGATTTAGCTGTTGACTCACTATGTGATAACTGAATCAGTGGGTCTCCTCTGGTTTGGACTCACCAAATGGATGGGAGCACATATTGTATAGTGTTGTGCATTTGTGTTTTTTTTATGTGTAGGGTGGGGTAGGGGGTAGAAATAGAAAGACAGTATGTATTGAACATATCTTGGAATATGTTATGATTATATGTTTTAAATTAAGTAATTAGTAAAATATAATGTATATAATGTATTATCTTGCATTGCAGTATTATAACACATCACAACACTTTCCTATTAAATATTATGATACAAGCCTGATGTTTAGGATTGGTGGTAAAAGAGTTGATGAGTATTCAAGAAGAATAGGTGTATAAATGCTGCCCTAGATAGATAGTTAGATAGATAGATAGATAGATAGATAGATAGATAGATAGATAGATAGATAGATAGATAGATATGCCATATGGACCTGGTCAGATGTGGCAATTTGGACCCAAAAGGTTCATTTAAATTGGATGTGCTACTTTGTGAGGATCAAATTTCTTCCATTTTGAAAGGGGAAAAGAGAAACACATATTCATTGGACACCTAATATAATTTGGGCGGGATCCCCAAGTATACTTGCGCTCAAGACCTACTAAACGGAAGTATTTTTTACTGCTTTCTCCATATATTAACAACAGTTTTTAACTGGATGATTTCTTTTGCTCTGTACATAGTAGCTCCACAATAAATACTGTCATTAAAGCATTATGAATGAGAGCAATCTTAATTAGAGGCTTTGCAACAAATCAATGATACCTTAAGCACTCAAAACAAGCTGCTTGCATCATTATCCTGTCATTGTTGCTCTGAGGAATAGTAATGTGATTCTAAGTCAATCAGATGCAGTAACAGAAAAGTGTGCTGGAGGCTTAGGTCCATGACTCAAACATGGACATTGTTCTAGCCTTCTCATGAAACCGGGAACAAGGAGGACACCTTCAGTAATAGAAGAGATAGAATTTCATTTGTCATAGTAAGTGATTTTCATCTTCCATTCCTAGTTAGCATATAGATGATACATTAAAGAGGCATAAATCCATCCTCTTCATAACACTTTTTCTATGTACATTTTTCTATGTACACCTGTGTTAATTTGAAATGATAAGCTAAAAATCCCACATGGCTGAAGAAACCCAGAACTCTGGTCTCCATGTTTCTAAGGAAACACATTATCTGCTATGGAAGATGTTTTCATGCCTTCATAGTCTCTTCGAAAGATCTGTTAGGAACCTACACCAAGATAAATAAGCAAAAGTCTTCGTATTCCATCTGACTATTTGTGATTGGTATTCCAACAAACACATCAGTTTATATACATGTTTATATAGTAACAACTACTAACCAGATATTTCATCTTGGAACAAGATTTGACTGACTGTCCCTTTTGGGAATTGAGGTTCCATCTCCTTCAGGCATTCTGGAAAGAAATGAGAATGTTTGGATTCATAAACCAAAAACTCTTAGTGCCATATAGCTTCAACCTATCAAGCAATTCCATTATTCATTAAAAACGCTCATAAAACAGTGTTTTAAACTGTCACTGAGTACAGGTTGAATATATTTTATCCAAAATGCATGGGACCAAAAATGTTTTTGGTTTAGGATCCACCCCCAACTCTGGGCCCAAAAATTTGGAGTAATTGTATTTGTCTATATTATGCACACAATGAAGTAACTTAGTGATTGTGCCTAAGTCAAAACACAAAATTCATGTTCTACATGAAACAAAGTTTGTATACACTAAACCATCAGAAAGCAAAGGTATTAATATCTCAGTCACCCATGTGGACACTTTCAGATTTTAGATTATTTTGATTTTGGAATTCTGGATGCTCAACCTGTATATAGTTCAGTTTCATTTTTGGTAACTAAAGACAGAAAAAACCAAAATATTTTGCTCTTGATAGATATTTTAAAGTTCATTGTCATGAATGACTTTTAAATAACTTTGAAGCATAGGTTCTTTTTATTGCAATTTCCAGTTTTAGAGAGTACATCAGATTACAGAAAAACATTTAGACATAGAATGGTATTGGACATAGAGGCATACAGATTCTATGCAACTACATTGGATTTATAATTACACTAGCGGTGCCCTGCCATGCGTTGCTGTGGCCCAGTCTGTTAATCTGGAAAAATAAAGTAATGAGAAAATGTTGGTTTTTAATAGATGTAATTTCTTTCTTCTTGTGGGTAAACAGTACTTCTTGCTGTTTCTTTGTCAGTGTTGATGTGGAGATTGTCTGGTTTGCCTACTCTGGAACATGCAACATATTATTGTCCTTCTTTAGGGGTCCCTTTCAAATCTATGATACTATATCTGTGTGTGTGTGAATCGTATCTATCTATCTATCTATCTATCTATCTATCTCTATCTATCTATGGGTGGATGGCTCTTTGTCAGGAGGACTTTGATTACGTTTTCTTGCCCTGTTGAAGGGAGTTGGATTGTATGGCCTTAAGTATTTTCTGATGGTCATAGGGGTTATGTGTGGGAAATTTTCCCCAATTCCGTTGTTCGTGGGGTTCAGAATGCTCTTTGATTGTACGTGAACAGTGAATCCCAGTGACTACAACTCCCAAAGGTCAAGGCCTATTTCCTCCAAACTCCATCTGTGTTCATATTTGGGTATGCTGAGTGCTTGTGCCAAGTTTGGTCCAGATCCATCATTGTTTGAGTCCACAGTGTTCTCTGGATGGAGATGAACTACAATTCTGAAACGAAAGGTCAATGGCCACCAAACCCTTCCAGTATTATCTGTTGGTCATGGGAGTTCAGTGTGGCAAGTGTGGTTCAAATCCGTAAATCCCAGAAATGAGGAGTACATTGTTATAAAAGTGAAAAAGTAGCGGGCAGGAGAACCAGTTGGGAGAGACCTACTTCCCACCGGGCAGGTTTGGAGGCTGCTGAAGGCAAGAGGGGTGTCGGGCCACGGGAGAAATYGAGGCCCCGGCTTAGGAGAAGACGGTGGGTCTCCCGTGTCATGTTGTTTTTGTTGCCCTTAGCAGCCCCCCCCCCGCAGCTTCCATGCCCTCCCCGGCCGTTAGTGCTTACATCGGCCTGGTGGGCTTTCTCAGGCTGGGGTCGCAATCTCTCCTGGTCTTTTTCCGTCTGTGTATCTGAGGCAGCGGTGGGACCGATGGGGTAGAGGGAGGCAGGCAGGYGGCAGTGCGCATACGGAGGGCRACTTGGGCACGGGGGAAGCTGGGAAATGGAGTCCTTCTTCCTCATCGAATTCCTCCTGAGGACTCTGCRCATGCGCCGTGTTTTTAGGGTATTGTGAATTTGTGTTGTTGCGTATTGGTGTTTGGAGGGTTGTTGGTCATACCTTGGGGGAAGAGGTATTAGCAGGCCAAATTTGGTGAGATTTTGTCCGGTGGTTTCTCCGTTTTTGAGCGCCTAAGGACGCCCTTAAGCTTTTTATATATATAGATTGGTTAACAAAACAAGCAAAGGAGAATTATATTTTCACTCAACATTCACACCACATGCACACACATTAATCCTCAGGCATTCAAATATTACCATATCATTTTTCCCTCCTTGGAGAAGCACCTGTTAGGCCAGACCCTGCTTTCCTGCAGCCTGCCAATGTATAGCTCCATAACTTCAAAATGCTGAAATGCCAAAAGTTCTTTCCCTAAGAACAACGCCAAGGACCAGATCTCTGTTTTCCATACAGCAGAACCTGACTCCCTGCACAAAATCCAAGACTCCAAAAGTGCACTTCTTCCTCGTCCCTTGAGAAAGAAGCCCCAAAGTGTCCAGAATCATGCTTTCCTATAGCATATCTGACACTCTCCGAAAACACCATCCCTCTCCTTCCCATGGAGCAGAGCAGAGTGGGTGAACAGACTCCTCAGGACTGTCACACTTTGAACATTATTAGACTGAGTCTTTTATAGGAATATTCTGTTGATATAGTCCCAAAGTTGTAAATTAATGTTAGACGTCTTCCATCCTGGATCCATCTCAGTTTCCTGGCCAGATGTTGATCTTCTTGACTGGTTTTGACAAACACAAGGCTTATGTTGACTTCCTTCTTAACAAACATTTCCTTAACTTGAAATAATAATTGTCACAGTTCATGTCACAATTTACTTTTTAGTTCTTATTAGCAGCTTTTAATCACAGTCCAGCAAGCAGGTAGTTAGTCATTGCAGGCCTTAATATTATACTGGTGTTTCCAATGTTATTAACTCCATCCATTCATCCTTCAATTCTTCCATTCATTCCCACATATATATTAAATCCACAGTGATCAAATCTGCAATGATATTTCGTGACATAAGTTTGTTATTTGGTTCAAAGTAAACATATCAGTATTTTATGAGCTATCCATCCATCCAACCATCTATCTGTCTGTTGTAATTGTTGTGTGCTTTCAAATCACTTCAGAGTTATGATGACCTTAAGACAAACCTATCACTGGGGGTTCTTGGCAAAATTTATTCAGAGTATGTTTGACCTTTCTTTATATATGAATAATTTGATGGGAAATCCAGAGGACTGCGAGTTGCTTCGCTCTATCCAACCCAATCACATAGACTTTACTTTTCCAATTGAGTAGGAAAGACCAATACTTAATTCTATACACATAGCTGCATTACTGAAGCTGTGTGTAAAAGGGATATCATTACAGATCTAGACAAAGGGCCTAATCAGAAAGGCAAGGTGAAGTATCCAGTTTCACTTGGTTTTGCCAAGAAAAGAGAGGGCAGCAGGGTGAATCAATCATCCTGTGCACAACTCCCTCTCAGTGACACTTTCCCCATCAGATGAGAAAAGTGTCACCCTACTAGTGAGACCTCATGCTGGCTCCATTTGAACCAGCACAACACGGGAAGCTGCCTGTGTTGTGGGGAAAACATCCAACAATGCTTCCACACCATTTAGGAGCAGGGTCAGAAATCCAGACAATGATGTATGATGTTTGACATGGGGCTCTGTCACCAAGACAGGGTGGAAGAGTCCTAGGATGCTAAATTATTCTGGTCCGATGAGGTTCTATATTGGCAGTCACCTCTACATAGGACAGCATGAAAGGAGAAGGACAACACCGGAAATATTAGTAGTATTGCTTTTATATTAATATTCTTAGTTTTTTTAATGCTCCAGAATTAGTATAGTTCTGAATTGTGGAAGAGAAAGGAGGAAAAACAACAAGAAAACAAATCTGCTTGCTACCTGACCAAAAATTGTGTCCTTCACTTCTGCTTTTCCCCAACTTATTTATCCAACTTGTTTGCTTTCTCTCATCCATGCACATGGGCATAAAAATGATTTCATTTGTATTCTAGCAATTGACAACCCAATTTATCCTGACTTGCCAGCTTATTTAAAGTCCCTAAATATGAAGTCATATAAGACAGCTGACTCCTTTGAAACAGGATATTTAAATGCAGGCTGACAAACATTCCAGCAGACGGGCAGCATCTACAAGTTCCTAACTGACCTTTCTCTGCATTCTGTATGCAGAGTTTTAGAAACAAAATCCTTGTTTTTTCCCTCCACCAGATGTCTTAATTAAAGGACACCATAACAACTATCTACAACAATATAACTCAAGACAGAATTTAAATGATGTGCATCAAATGTTCATTGCCTTGCTACCAAGGAAAGGAACAGCAAATGTAACATTTCCATCAACGGACAGCAAAAGCAGCAGTGAAAAAGACCTTGGGATTTTTGTTAATCATAATTTGAACATGACCCAGCATGTGATGTTACAGCAAAGGAAAATAATATTGCATTGACAGAATATGGTCTCCTAGACAAGAGAAACAATAATCCAACTATATTCTGTACTATTTAGGCATCATCTGGAGTACTGTATTCAATTCTGAGCACTTCATTTTAGGAAGAATATAGATATGTTGGAGAAGGTTCAGAGAAGGGCAAGAAGAATGCTTAGCTATCTGGAGGTGTTGCAGTTTCATCGTCTTCCATTAGGATAGGAACAACATAAGCTTTGACACACAAGGTTGAAACTTCCCTTTGCCATTTGGGTAAGTCAAACATAGTGAGATCATCCTCAAGCAAAAGCAGGCAGATTTATCAAGGTATTCAGAATAGTTATTTTATTTCATTTTCATCACAGACAGATTTAAGGGCACATCTTCTCAACCTCCTCCTTCTTCCCTTCTTTGCGTCTCCCTTTTCAATCTCCCCTGGCCCCACCCTTCACACAGACACATACACAGACACACACACACGCCCCTTACAGTTACTCAGCTGATTGTCATTACAGTCTCTTGAACCTCTGCTCAGAACTCTTTCTGGTGAATTAAGGGAATATGTTTTCTTTTTCCTAAGGACAGTTCCCTCCTACTATTATTCACACTCTTATAGGAGGAAAATAACAAAGCTTGAGGGAGTTGAGCATGTTCAGCCTGGCGAAGAAAAGACAGAGGAGT